AATGACCAGTGCCACGTTCAAGCAGGAGCTTTGAGAGCCATCGTGTGGTTCTACCTTGGCTCTTTTACCTTGACCATGAGGCCAGCATGTTCCAGAAAGGGGCTACGTCCTCCAGCCTGCATCTGGGATGATATAGTTTCCACCCTCGCAGAGGGCCACCAGGGTATGGGACAGGGAATTTTTGAACTAGTAGAACCATTTCACAGCGAACCCCTGGGGAGGGTGAGGTGAGCTCTAATCCTAGTCCCCACCTTGCTGCTGATCTGCTGGGCGACTCGGGCGGGCCTGTCACTGTCTCTTCAAAAAGCCTTTGTTTCCTTATCTGGACAAAGGGAAGACTCTGCCCGAGTTAAGACAGTCAAGCATCTTGCAAGAGGAAAGGATTCTGAGAAACTCTAGCCTGTCCCAGGCACTGTGGTTGGTACTTTTCATGTAATCCCCCCAGCACCCCCAGTTGGTAGAGAGGATCACTGTTCCCACTTTCCGGAGAAGACCAAGCCTTCAAGGTTATATAGCTAGGAAGTGGCAGGCAGGCTTCGAACTTGGCAGTCTAATTCCAGAACCCACGAACTTCAGATATTGTAGAACGAGAAGTCAGGGGCTGATGGGCTAATGGAAATTCAGCTCCTTCACCTTCACTCACCCATCTGTCAGTCTGTCTATCCACCCACCAGCCCATCCTTCCTTCCCTTCCCTCCCTCCGTCTTTCCTTCCACCCATTCTTCCATCCACGTGACTATTCCCCAAGCATTTCTTATAACAGGCACTGAGTGGCCGGATGGTTGAAGATCTATCTGGGAACAAGTTAGGTTGGCGTGGGATTACTTGGGCGGTGACATATGTAAGGGAGAAAGGGCTATCGGGGAGAATGGCTGGGTGTCTGTTCACCGTGTAGAGCACTCGGCCTCCCCCACCCCCCTTGGAATGAAAGTGGCCCTCCCCTCTGGACAGCAGCCAATGCTACATGCAGTATTTCCCAAAGTTCCCTGATCACTGAGGCTGCCCAGGGATGTGGTAAATATACAGATTCCCCAGGCCCCACTCCAGACCAACAGAAGCAGAATTGCTAAGTGTGGATCCTGGAAACCTGGGTTTTAAGGACCCTGGGTGATGGTTCTGATTGGGCAAGTTTGGGAAACTGGGTGGGTAAGAAGGGCGGAGACTTTGGCATCTAGAAAACACGCTTGGGGCCCTGTACTGGCCCTTGTTAGAAGCACCTTGGTTTCCTACTCTGCAAAAAGGGAATATAACCCCTTGGGGCTGGCCTCGCTCCCAGAAATAACGAACCCCTCCAAGAAGGCCCCTTCCCCTCACCCGCCCATGTCCTCAAGAACTGGCATCTTTAGTCCCCCCCACCCCCCACACTCTGCCGCCCCACTGGGACTCCCAAGGGTCACAGGTCTCCCTTCTCGTCCTCTCTAGCCTGACTGGACGGGAGGTCCTGACGCCCTTCCCAGGGCTGGGCACCGCGGTGGCCCCAGCTCAGGGGGGCGGCCACCTGAAGCAGTGCGACCTGCTGAAGCTGTCCCGGCGGCAGAAGCAGCTCTGTCGGCGGGAACCTGGCCTGGCTGAGACCTTGCAGGATGCTGCCCACCTCAGCCTGCTCGAGTGCCAGTTCCAATTTAGGCATGAGCGCTGGAATTGCAGCCTGGAGGGGAGGACGGGCCTGCTCAAGAGAGGTAG